TTTGACTTATTTAAATAATTCATTTCAGCACTTAATAGTTGTTGTGTACTGTTGAGTCAGAACTGACCCATAGCTAACCCTCTAGTGGGTTTTCAATTGCATGGAAGAAGACTACCCCTCTTTCTCCTGCCAGGAAGTTGGTGCATTCCAAAGGTGACCCTTTGGGTTGGCAGCACCATTCCTTACCACTAGACCACTAGAGCTCCCTACTAAGGAGGAATGTAAAAGAATTCATTTGTAGCTTCTCACTTCCATGGTGTCACTAACTATTTTAGAAAGTGTTATCCCTCCATCAAAGTCACATTATAATAGTGATTTCCATTTACCTAAAAATTACCATATGCCACCATACTATTTTAGGAGAAAAGAAAAAAAAGAATTTTATTTAAAAAAAATCAGAGTTAATAAGCAGTCTTTCTTTCCAGATGCTAGTGTTTGGGTATCTTGTCATCGAAAAGAGCATGTTTTTCTCTGTGGATCACAGAAGTTTGGTTGGGGGAGAGAGGAGGAGGGGGGAGTTTTAAGAGCAAAGATAGAGTCAAGAACATGACATTCTATTTTTTTTTAAAAAGAAAAAAATGGACCAGTTCTAGTTAAGTGAGTTTGGGCTCTTACATCTTTTCAGAATAGAACTGTGTTACATGAGGTTTTCAATGGTTGAATTTTAAAGAGTTGATCTGAAGGCATTTTTTTCCCCAGGTACCTCTGGATGATAAGCCTTTGAGCCACCCAGGGACTCCTGATCTTGTAAAAGACTCAATTTCATAGGATGAAAATGAAATTTTGAAAGTTGTTTAGATTTTCAAAGTTAAGAAACACCCGGAGAGATTGTTAAGAATGGAAATGGGAATATGTTGTTGTTGTTAAGTGCCATCGAGTCGCAGGCGACTCATTGCGACAGCCACCCAAGCATGTATATGCACACCCATGTTTATTGAGGCTTTGTTCACAATAGCAAAGAGATGAAAACAGCCTAAGTGCCTATCAACAAACAAATGGATAGAGAAGCTGTGGTATATTCACACAATGGAATACTATGCTGCATTGAAAAACAAAGAACTCATGAAATATGATATAAAATGGATGACCCTACAGGACATTATGCTGAGTGAAATGTCTCACTCACAAAAGGATAAATACTGCATTGTGCCACTGTTGTAAAACAGGACTGACATCGGGATTGGGGGGAACCTAAGAAGAGAGGGGATAAATAATGTACACTACATTGAAACAGATAAGGGAGAGAACTGTTTAAAAGGAATGTATGATTAGGTATTATTATCATGACAGGAGTCCAGAAATAAGAGCTGCATAGGAGACTAGACTGGGGGCTGGGGGGATTGTATAACAATGAAAGAATTTTTCTTTTTTTTTCAACTGTGCAGGGAGGAAAATGTGCAACAGTACATGAAAGGAAATCCAAAGTCTCTGTAAACTTTCATTAAAATTTCAATTACAAAAGGAAATACATGCACAATCCTGCGACAATAGTAATAACAATAATCTGTGAATGGATCTGGAGATGAACTTGCATGGGAAGGCAAGTGGTAGTGCATTCTCAAAAATATCTGTTTGACGGAGCGTATTCCTACAGATATATGTGCTGCAAATATATGGATGAATACAGTACAGAATGTAGGTGATGATGTCATGAAAACCTTTAAGTCATAACCAAACACCTTGAAGGAATGGATCATCGGGCCTAAGGGCTTACAATCATACACAGTCTCCGGGGACATTAAGGTCAATTGACACAACGTAGACAATGCTGTACAGCCTATTTTGGTGAGTAGCTACTGAAGTCTGAAAAGGTTGCGCCTGACCATCTTAGTTGTACCTATTGGTACTTTCTCTGTTCAGAGCCAAGAAGAACGAAGAAAATCAAAGACAGAAAGAAAGAATGAGTTTAAAGGACTAATGGACCATTCTAATACCAGATTCCACCTCCCTGAGACAAGAATACTCCTCCCTGGAAGTGGGGATCTAGTTTCAAAGGGATCACAACAGGATGTGCTTTATGGAGGGGGAGAAATTAAAAAACCTTAAAAATAATAAGAATATTATATGCTATGGGCAATAACCTCCTGCCTCTGAAGACCTGTTGTAGGGTCAGCTATGGGCCAGTTCTGACTCTACAGTACTCCACAACAACAGCATGCTTCTTACAGTGACAGGTGGGACCCCTAAGTCTATGGTCATTTTTAAGTTTGGTACAGGATTCACCCCTGTGGTTCAACTTTCAGCCAAACAATAGAAAGACCTACAAGGTGAACACTAACAAGGAGGAGGCTGGTAGAGTGCTGATACAGGATGGAGATTGCAATTACTGTCGCAAAACAGAACGTGTGAACTGATAAATGGAAAACCAATTTGCTCTGTAAACTTTCACTCAAATCACAAGAAAAAGTTTTTTTAAAAGCTGTTTTTCTAAATGATTGTTGTTGTTGTTATGGGCCATCGATTTGCCTATGACTCAGAGCCACCCTATGTACAACAGCCCTAAACCCTGCTCTATCCTGTGCCAATTGCATTGTCTCTGACACACCTACCTCCTTTACCCCAGTCACTAAATTAATCCATCTCATCGAGGGTCTTCCTCTCCTGTGATGTCCCTCTACCCTTTCAAGCATGAGATCCCTCTCCAAAGACTGGTCCCTCCTTGTAACATGTCCAAAGTATATCAGATGAAGCTTCAGAAAACTTGCCTCCAAGGAGAAGTCTGGTTTAACCCTCTTTAGGATGAACCTGTTTGTTCTTTTCGCAGTCCATGGAATATTCAATATTCTTCTCCAACACTACAGCTCAAAGTCATCAACTCTCCTATCATCCCTAGTTATTGTTCATCTTTCTGATGCATAACAAGTGATTGTAAAGACCATGGCCTGTGTCAAGTGCATCTTAGTCTCCAGACCAACATCATTGCTCTTCAGTACTCTGGAGAGGTCTCTGACAGCAGATTTTCCCAACACACTGTCTTTTAATGTCCTGGCTGCTGGTGCCAAGAATGTTGACTGTAGAGCCATGCAAACCAGAGCTGTTTACAATGTCAGTCTCTTCACTCTAAATGATTAGGTAGGAAAAGAAAACAATCAAATAAGGTATTTGGATAATAAGATAACAATTTCTCATTACTTGATTTGTTGTTGTTATGTGCCATAGAGTTGCTTGTGACTCCTAGTGACCCTATATACAACAGCTCTGAAACCTGCTCTATCCTGTGCCAACTTTACTTTTTCTGACACACCTACCCTCATTAGCCCTGTCACTGTATCAATCCATTTCATTGATGGCTTCCCTCTCTTTCTCCGTCCCTCCACGATTCCAAGCATGATGTCCTTCTCCAAAGACCGATCCTTTCTTACAACTTGCTCAAAGTATATCATATGAAGCCTCAGAATCCTTGTCTCCAAGGAGCAGGCTGTCTTCACCCTTTCTAGGACAAACCTGTTTTGTTCTCCTGGCAGTCCAGGGTGTGTTCAGCACTCTTCTCCAGCACCACTAACCCCTGGTCATTGTACAGCTCTCTGACACATAGCAAGTAATTGTGAAGACTATGGCTTAGATCAGTTGCACCTTGGTCTCCAGACTGACATCATTTCTTATACTCTGTAGAGGTCCCTGACAACCAACTTTCCTGTGCAATTCATCTCTTAATTTTCTGGCTGTTGGTACTAAGAGTGTTGATTGTGGAGCCAAGCAAATGAAAGCAGTTAACAATCTCAATTTCTTCACCATCTATCATAATGCTGCTGATTGGCCCAGTGGTGAGGATCTTTGTTTTCTTGATGTTGAGTTTCAATCCATACTGAAGGCGCTTCAGGTCCTCCTTAGTTTCAGCAAGCAGGGTTGTGTCATCCGCATAACGCAGATTATTGATGAATCTTCCTCCAATCCTTAAGCCACATTCTTCTTCATACAGCTCAGCCTCCCGGATGAACTGTACTTGACTTATACATCCTTAAAAACACTTTTTTTGCACAAAGATGAAGAATTTCTTAAAATGTTTTTGTTGTTGTTGTTATGTGCCCTCAAGTTGATTGTGAGTCTTAACAACCCTATGAACAATGGGTTTAACCTCTTTTCTATTTTTACCATGCTGACCATCTCCAATACGCTTGAGCCCATAGTTACAGTCACCATATCAATCCACTTTGTTGAAAGTCTACTTTTCCTATATAAGCCCTCCACCTTTTAAGCATGATGCCTTTCTCCACAGACTAGCTCCTCTTAACGATGTGCCCAAGCATGTGAAATATGCTTCAAATATCAGTATTTTTAACTGGTGGAGTAGGAAGGCAATAAAGACCACAACACTTTTATTCAAACTTTGAAAAAATGTCATTATATATAGGGCAAGGCTGTTTGTTGGAAAGGGACATTAGACTTTGAAAGATAAAGGGTCAGCAAAGGAGAGAAAGATTCCCCAACAAGATGGACTGACACTGTGACTTCAGCAATGGACTCTAGTGCCTCAGAGGTGGAGAAGATGGATGGCACCAGATAGGGCAGTTTTCAGGTTGGCTGTTCACAGGGTTGCTATGAGTCATACTTGACTAGACAAGCAACAACAACAACTGGTAGACTAGTCTTAAAGGAATGCCGCTGCTAACCCAAAGGCCACACCTCTTGGTGGTTTGGATCCACCAGTGATGCCAAGTGATTACGCTGGACAATGCCTCCTCTGTGATTTACAGTGGGGGAAAACAACTGGAGGGCCAGCTTCGAATTGGTTCTGGCTTGACGGCAATGAGTTGGGTTCTTATTAGATACATTTTTAAATCATTATTTTTCCAAAACTTGGTGAACTGCCTTTGTGTACATGCCATCATTGCTTTCTTTCTCTCATTCTGATTTTATTTTTCACATTATTTAACCAAATAATCTTTGTTAATTATCTTCTTTATAGAGATCCTAAACTCTGTGATTTTAGTGGAAAATCAGCAATACATTATGTGTCACAAATAAAGAGCTTGAAGAAACAGCAGTTATTGGACATTCTAATGAGTTCGATGCCAAAACCAGGTAAATATTTCTATTCTGAGTATCAAATCCCTGTTAGACAGTTTTCTATTTTTCTATAAAAGAATCCTGATCAAACGAATCAAAATACTGAAAAGGATCTCAAATTCTCATGGTGTCCAGAGTTCCTAGGCCTTGAGAGACTGTATGAACTCCCAGAATTATTGTTCTGAAATAATCTTTTAACTGTAAACCAAAAATCCCTCTGAAAGTCTAAATTAAACAATAGTTTCACTTAACTAGTAAAGAATATCTACTTTGATAATTGGAGTCTTTTAAAATCTTTTTGTATGGGATCAAATTGACAACAAAAACTTGAAATATTAGATAGAAAATGGAGGAGGAAGAAGTCAGAAAACAGGGAGAGAATGGTAGTACAATTCATAAAATATAATCAATGTCACTGAATTGTACATGTAGAAATTGTTGAAGTCGTATATGTTGTGCTGTGTGTATTATCAAAACAACAACAACAAAAATAACATTTTAAAAAATATTTCTTTCTTTACATGTATTTGATAAATGCAGTTCAAGTAACCAAACCAACTACTTCTTGGATGACTCTGTACAAGGTTTGTGACCGAGTAATTTAGAGCTGCAAATTAGTGCAAGGCACAGTCCAGACTTTCTAAAGTGTACAGTTGGGGTTACCCAAGTTAGGAGAAGGAGTTTGCTGTGAACTTGGAAGGGGAAGCAGGTCTTATGGTGGTTTGGTTTGACTGGATAGCATACAGAACAAATTAGGGGAAAAGAGAGACTTTTGATATAGATGAGAAGAGTGAGGAATGACATAAGAACAGACACAACAAAAAGATACAAAAGAAAGTCTCTGAGCATACATGATTTTGTGAAAATTTAACTCTAAAAGGATTGGTTCTTGTTTGTGGCAACACAAAGGGGGCAAAGCTGTGCCTAAAACTTAAAGACTTAACATATTGGTGTTCTAAACTTCAGATGAAAATGAGAGTGATTTTTATCAGTCAATGGACTGGGCAAGTGACTAGGAACCAATAGTGTGTTTTTTAACACCAAGCTCCTAGAGAGGAGTAGGAATCTATGATTTTTTGTTGTTGTTGTTCTGTGCCATCGAGTCACTTGAGACTCATAGCAACCCTATGTACAAGAGCCCTAAATGCCATTCTATCCTGTGCCAACCTCACCGTCTCAAACACACTCATTCCCACCACTCCACTCACAGAATCGATGCATTTCATTGAGGGTCTTCCTCTCCTGCACCGCCCCTCCACTCTCCCAAACATGATGGCCCTCTCTGAGGACAGTCCCACCTTGCAACATGTCCAAAGTATGTCAGACAAAGATTCAGAATCCTTGACTCCAAGGAGCATCCTGGCTTCACTCTCTCCAGGACAAACCTGTTCGTTCTCCTTGCAGTGCACGGTATATTCAACACTCTTCTCAAGCACCACAGCTCAAAGGCATCAATTGTAGCATTTACTAATTTCTGGGGCATAAATACTCTCTCCATACCAATTTCAAACTACTAGCATGATGTCTCTAAAAGTCACATTGGGAAAATGGAATATTCCCACCAATAAAAAGAGTTTGGAGAATAGTAAAGTGTTGTAAACAGTTTAGGAGTGATGGGTTTTGAGTGTATGTTAGTTTTGTCTTTAATATAGTTTGCTTAATTGTAAGCTTATTTAATTTACTGTAATTTTTTATTGTAGTGAAAATAGAGACATCAAACATCAATTCAAATTATATTCTTCATACTATGTAATCATTATCACTGTCCTTTCCTCAATCATTCCACTGCCATTAACATTCACTCAATGTGTTTGGAAGCAAAATTCTCCCTTTCCTTCTCTTCCCATTCCTATAACCACAATCTGTTTTTTATGTATTTGAGTATTGTGTAAGTGAGATAATGCAGTATTTGTCTTTTTGAGACTAACTTATTTAACTCAACATAATTTTTCAATAAAAATCGTATTTTGGTGAGGCAGTGGTTAAGTATTCAGCTACCAAGCAAAATATCAGCAATGGTTTGAACTCCTCAGTGGCTCCATGTGAAAAAGATGAAGGTCTACTTCTGTAAACATGACAGCCTTGGAAAACTGAAAGGGAAGTTCTGTTCTGTCCTATAGGATTGCAAAGAGTTGGAACTGACTCAGCAGTATTTCAGCTGAGTTTTCAGTAATAACTGTGTTTAATAATCTTTTCCCCTACATTTAAAAATTGGCTCTCATGAATTGACTATCTCCAAATCATAGGCCTTGATTGTGTTGGGTTCTGTGGTCATGGTAAGAATGCAGAATGTGCTGGAGTCTCCTAGTTCCCACCCTAAATTGAGCTGAATTCAGATGTGACCTGCCCAGATCTGCAGCATGGTGAAGCCCTGCCAACCGGAGTTCACTGTGTACAGACCCAAAGTGCAATGAAAGCCCACCGTGAATGGGAACCAGAGCCCAGGGTGGCAAGAGTGGTGCCACCTGGAATAGAGCTTTCACACAGTGCCCTCCATTGGTACAGGCCCATCACCAGACTTGGTGCAGGCCAGGGTCTCACTGATCCATGCTTAGGTTATCACTTCTACCATAGTGATGAACATGTAATGAACTGAGGGAAGACTGGACATGTACTTCACTATATGGCATATTTAATAGAAGTCGCATGTTTTGTGGAAGAACGGATTGTGGGGATTAAAGTTGTAAAATTGTCAGAAAATTCAAGAACATAAAATAAGGAATATAATACAGGATTTTATAATTTTTTTTAGTGAAAGTTTACAAAGAGATTAATTTTCATTCTTTGATGCATGAACATTTTCCTCCCTCCTCCTTCCTCAATTCTGTTCCTAATACTTGTCCTGTTCCAGGCAGTTAATTGTCATACACATAATTTTTAATCATCCATTCCTTTCAGATTGTCCTTCTGTTAACCTATTCCAGTGCAGTGTTATTATCTACCCATTCTTTTCTTGATCTCCCCTCATCTCCTCTCAATTCTAACAGTGATCTTATGCAATATTTGCCCTTTTGGTTTTTTTTTTTTAATTTATTATTAATGTCAATGAAAATTTACAGAGACTTTGGATTTCCATTCATTCATTGTTGTACTTTTCTCCCCTCCCAACCCTCCCCCCCAGTAGTACATTACTCTCTTCGAAAAGTAAAAGAAAAATTCTTTCATTGTTTTACACACAGCACCTCCCTCCCATCTACTTCACTATGCAGCCTTCGCTCTGGACTCCCATCATGACAAAAAAATACCTAATCACATATCCCTTTTAAACAGTTTTCTCCCTCATCTGTTTCAATGCAGTATACATTATTTATCCTATCTTTCTCAGTCTCCTGCCAACCCCGAGGTCAGTCCTGTTTTACAACAGTGGCACGATGCAGCATTTGTCCTTTTGTGACTGAGATACTTCACTTGGCATAATGTCCTCCAGGGCCACCCATTTGGAATAACATTGCATGAATTCCTTGTTTTTCAATGCAGCATAGTATTCCATTGTGTGAATATACCACAGCTTCTCTATCCATTTCGTTTGTTGATGGGTACTTAGGTTGTTTCCACCTCCTGGCTATTGTGAACAAAACTGCGATAAACATGGGTGTGCCTATATCTTCTTGGATGTCAGTTATGGTCTCTTTGTGTATATTGCTGGGTCAAATGGTATATCTATTTGCAACTTTTTGAGAAAGCGCCATATCGCCTTCCACAGTGGTTGTACCATTTTACACTCCCATCAACAGTGAATAAGGGTTCCAGTTTCTCCACAACCTCGCCATCATTTGTTGCTTGCTGTTCTGTTAAATTTTGCTTGGGTGAGAGGATATCTCATGGTTGTTTTAAATTGCATCTCTGTTAGAGCTAGGGATTTTGAACATTTCTTCATGTGCTTGTTGAACATCTGAATGTCTTCTTTGGTGAAGAGTCTGTTCATATCCTGTGTCCATTTTTCGATTGGATTATTTACCTTTATCTTGTTGTGGTGCTCAAGTATTTTATAAATTCTGGATATAAGTCCCTTATCTGATATGTCATTACCAAATACTTTTTCCCAGTTGGTGGCTTCCCTTTTTACCCTGTTGAGAAGTTTTTGGATGTGCAGAGGGATTTGATTCTTAGAAGATCCCATTCATCTATTTTATCTTCTCCTTGTTATAGGTTTTTCAGGATACTTGGAATACTGTTTATATTGTGGATTAGGACTTCTAGCATTCTTCCAAGCTTTTCTTTAATGATGTTTATAGTCCTTGGTTTTAGTCTTAGGTCTATGATCCACCTTGAGTTGGTTTTTCTATACGGAGTGAGGTGGGGATCTTGCTTGAGTCTTTTGCAGATACTTTTCCCATTTTGCCAACACCATTTGTTAAAAGGCTGTCATTTCCCCACTTAACTGATTTCATCTGCTTGTCAAAAATCAGTTGACCAAAGATGATAGATAGATGGGCTGATCTCCGGGTTCTCAATTCTATTCCATTGATCTATGTGTCTGTCGTTGTACCTGTACCAAACTGTCTTAACCACCACAGCACTGTAGTAGGATTTGAAATCAGGGAGTGAGATTCATATTTGTCTTTTTTGTGACTGAGATATTCCATTCAGCATAATGTCTCCCAGACTCATCCAGATTGTATAGTGTTTTATGAGTTTTTTTTCTATGCTGTATAATATTCCTCTGTATGAATGTGTCTGTTCCATTGTCAATGGGCATTTGCACTGCTTCTGTCTCTTTGCTACTTTAAGTAATGCTTCCATAAACACGGGTATGCATACATCTGTTTGTATCACATCTCTGATTTCTTTAGAGTCTATTCCCAGTAGTAGGATAACTGGGTCAAATGATATTTCTATATTCAACCTTTTTGAAAATGTACTAGACTGCCTTCCATAATGCTTGTACCTTTTTACATTCGCTTCAGCAATTTATGAGAGTTCCAATCTCTTCACATCCTCACCAGCATTTGTTGTTTGCTGTTCTGTGGAATTTTGCTATTGTTGCTGGTGAGAAACGATATGTCATTGTTTAGATTTGCATCTTTCTAATGGCTAGTGGTCTTGAGCCATCATGTGTTAGTTGGCCTCTGGTGAAGATTCTATTCACCTCTTCTACCCATTTTGTGTCCCGGTTTCTTGTCTTTTTCTTTTAAAAGTGCCTAATAGTCTGTACTTTTCAGATGAGTCTCCTATCAGTTATGTCATTGCCAAATATTTTTTCCCAATCTGTGAACTTCCTTTTCACTATTGGAGAAATTGTTTTGATGCACATGAAGATTTTCTTATTAGCAGGTCCGTTCATCTACTTTATCCTCTCCTGGCAGTAGGTTTTTAATTATGCTTGGAAAAAAAAAATCTATTCATGCCATAGGTTAGGGTTTCAAGATTTATTCCTACTTTTCTTCTCTGATGAACTTTATAATTTTTGGTTTTACTCTTAAGTCACTTATACACCTTGTAGAATTTTTTTGGTATGAGGTGAACTTTTTAAAAATGAATTTTATTTTATATTAGTTGGCATGCAAAATTCGTATATGTTATTTTGTCTATATATATTGTTTTTCACAAATTTTTTCTATTCACATTGTGTTTATAGACTCATTTCTATACTTTGGGTTTTATAAAATTAATCACCATTGATCTATGTCCACCATTACCCCACTTTTTCAGTTCCTCACTGAATCTTTCCTAATTCTTTCAACCCCTCACTCTGCCCACATAACTCAGTGACCCCAAGATTTTCCCCTCTCCCCACCACCAGCTGCTCTTCACTGTCCTTGCCCCTTTTGGACTTTTGTATATATCTTATTAGTGATCCTTCAATTTTTGCAATAGTGGTCTTATGCAGTACTTGTCTTTATGAGAAAAGGAGTTTCTTGCAGTAGCTTTGCCCAGTGCACCATTTCATTTCCTGACTGCTGCTTCTGTTAATGTTGATGGTGGATCTGAGCAAAATTAAATTCTTGACAATTTCAGTCTTTTCTGTTTATAATGATGTTTTTATTGACCAAACTGTGAAGCCTTTTGTTTTCTTGAGGTTGAGGTGTAATTGTACCGGAGTCTGTCAGTCACCACTCATCTGGAAGTTTATTGTACTGTGATAGATTTCATGTTTCTGTAAGATTATTTGAAAACTATGTACTTCAAATATCAGTAGGGTCAACCATGATAGATGGATTTCAGCAGAGCTTTCATACTAAGACAGAGTTGGAAGAAGGACCTGGCTATCTATTTCTTGGAAAAAAATATTGGCCGGTGAAAACCTTAGGAATGGCAACAGCACATAGAATACTCATATATATGGAGGTTGCCCATGCTTCTCCTGTGGAGCAGCTGGTGGATTCAAACCACATGACTTCTCGATTGCAGCACATCTTCTTGCCTCTAGGCCACCAGAGCTCCCTATATGTGGTGATAATACTCAAGAAAAGAACTCAATGGCATATGGTGGTGGGCCTGAGAGATGTTGCAGATTGTGAATTTGAGAGATATTGTGAACGAAGACTCACGACTTAATAAGGTAGAAATAATAGATGATGTATCGAGACAAAAATTCAGAGAGTTGAGGCAAAGATTATTAAAAAATTTCAGACCTACTAACTAAGAAAATAGAAATACAGTCAACAAAATTGAATGTATTCTTGTTTGGTGCAGGTATGGAAGAGGAAGTTAAATGAGTCCAGTCAAAATAGCAAAGAGACCCTCTGTCCAAGAAAAGGAAACATGGCCCAGTCCTGTGCTGTGCTCACTATCTCCTCTGTATTTAAGGGTTGTATAATGAGTTGGAGTTACCATGTCAATCCATCCATCCCCTTGAGAGTCTTCTCTTTTTCACTAACTTTCTGCTATCCTGAAGTATGATATCTTTCTCTAGAAATGGTCATCTTAATATTTGTTGTTGTTCTTGTTAAGTGCTGTCAAGTTGCAGGCCTGTCTTTCATTGTTTTTGTTCAGACATTCCTCTAGGTCGCATAGCCCTGGTGTACAAGTTGTCATTCTGCGGTCACTTGTGGTTGCTGTGAGGCTGAACACTGTGACGCTGATGTGTCAAATGCATTAATAACAGCATGCCCAAAGTATGTGAAATGAAAAAAAAAATACAGAATTTAATAGAATCTTGGAACTTTAAAGTAGCAATTTTCTGTAGGAATGGACTTATGAGAAAAGATGGGCTAATAAAGTAGTTTCTAAGTTGTCTACAGAAGGACAGCATAGGATCTGAGACTAGAGAAGACTTCAAGGACGGATGGTGTGAGAGAGCTGTCCAGGAGAGAGCTGAGGAGGTGCATCCACAGATAGACAGCAGTGTACACATAGCGACTTGGGAATGCTAACTGCAAAGGGTGAAGTGGAAAAGAATTTCAGAAAGTAAGGAGTAAAACAATGTGTTGGGAAAGAGTGAAAAGCAGATGTGTTAAGGAAATGTGCAGATTCAGTGGCAGGAGAGAGGCAGAAGATAGATTGCAGAGGTTAAAGGAAGTATAGTGAGGAAATTGATGTTCTGGGTTAGATTCCGTGTTCAATTTTATTTCCATTACATGATAAACAGAAAGATCATTGCAAGAGGAGGGAGCTTCCATTGAAGAGTTGATGCCTGTTTGAAGTAGTCTGGATAGCAGGAGGACTATCCAGATGAGGGCAAGGTCACTGGGAACTAACTGGCAATTAGTCTTTGGTATTCAGAGCTCTGTCCATTTCATGTAATTTCAAATTCTAGATGGGAAAAGCAAGTCCCCTTGGACTATCTGAGAACTTTTGTTCCTGGAAACTGCAGATCAAATGTAACTTCCAGCTCCTCACTGAGGATTTCATTTAACAATCTTGCCTGAAACTTAAACTTTTGCCAATCTTAAACTTTTAAAGTGATAATATGTAATAACTGCTTCTGAAAACCCGCCGGAAGATCAGCTATGGTACACAACAACAACAATAGAAGGAGATTGCCCATCTTTCTGCTGCAGAGCAGCTGGTGAATTTGAACCCCATGCTTTTGGGTTGACAGTAGAGCTCCTTACTAGGCCATCAGAGCTTGCTTGATTGGTCTATAAGGTTCTGAATTCAGTTGTTTGCCACATTGTATTGGGATTACTTCTAAATTACTCATTGACTTCATGGCACTGACTCATAGCTGACTGACCCTTCAGTAGGTTTTCAGAAGTCGTAAGTCACATGGGAGGAGATTGCCTATCTTTCAGTTGTTCAGCAACTGGTGGATTCAAACAACTTGCCTCTGGATTGACAGTGTGATTCTTCACCCACTAGGCCCCCAGAGCTCATGAGATCTCTTTTACTTCCCATAAAATGATTGTAGATAATCCAAGGCAGTATGGAAGTTTCAGAAAAGGAAAGACCATTAGCAATTGCACCAGCATAGTTTTCTCTACCCTGTAAGCAATTTGGAGTTTATTTGGAAGAAATCTACAGTTTTCCTATCCAACCTTCTTCCAGTGGAAGTCTATGATGAGAGATCATCTTATAGAATTACAAAGGACAGACGTCCTTCTTCTCTGTGTATGGACCTTTGATGAGGAGGATTTCCTTAACTTACATTAGTTGTTGATGGTTGTAACGATTGAAACACTCTTGCCCATGCTTCAGCCCCTAGATTAAAGTGTTGCAGGAAAGATGTAGACGTTAAATATGAGATGGAGTGATGTTAATTCAAAATCTTAGTAACTTTAATTTCTCCCAGACCCTGTGAAGTCATAGATATTCAGATGTTGATTGATTTCATTCCAGCCTTCTAAAAACTATTTCCATTTCTAAAAATGCCAAGGTATCTTTTACTTTTTCCTCTTTGTATGACAAGGATTTCCACCAACGCCTGTCACTGTTAGTTTTCCCCTCGGTCATTCCTTCTGTGCAGTGACTGCCTTCACCACTCTCCCTGTGAAGACTGTCACCTAGTGCTGCTGTCCCAGCTACGATGTCCAGACCATGATGTCAAGAAGTTCTTTGACACAACAACACTGTTTTTAAAGCCCAGAGGCATTGTTTTAGATCCTCTTGTGCAATTGCTGGAGATATTTCTTATCTAAGATGTTATTATGTTTCTTTTGGCAGAGAGACATGCTGAATCATTACTTGATATTTGCCATGATAACAACTCCTCTCCAACTGATATGACGACAGTTAACAAAAATCAGAGCATAATCTTGCAAAGCCTTAGCAGCAGTGAGGTAAGATCCTTTCTTTCAGGGAAAACAACAAATACTTAACAAGATACTGGCACCTGCTCCATATGCTTACTTTATATTGATTGAATATTTTATAACAACCATAAATTACTATTCATGAAAAAATTTAAAACACAGTGGGTAAAGCAATAGTCCAGGTATTTAATATCATAGCAGCATTAAGCACTCTAATCTGAATTCCATGCTTGTGTGTGTGTGTGTGTGTGTGTGTTGTAATATCATAGAAGATTATTGAAGCTGAGTCAATATTAAGCAATTAAACATAATTTGTCTCTATGAAAGGAATACTAAAATGGAAAGATCCTTCCTCCTTCATATCAGATCTATAACAAGCTACCACAGAGGAGGTACTTCCTCATGCTTGCTCACCACACCTGCCTATGATGTCCCCTCTGTTACTGTAACAGTACTAGTAAAAAGAATTGGGCCCATAGGAAACTGGAATAACAGCCAAGATGCACAGCCCACTGGTCACAGAGGTTGCCTATGGAAAAGACTAGTGATTTCTTTTTGCTCTGTTTACTTGTTTGTACCTTTTGGGGTTTATATACAAATAAACATAGTCCAGAGACTTTGAAACCTTTACTCTGTATTTTTTTATTAACAAAAGTATGGTCACAGTCTGGCTTGGTTTTCAGTTTTAAAGAGGAGTAAGCTATATTTTCAAAGAACAATAGCAGTTTCTAATACAGTGGAGTAAAGACCATTTGGTTCTTTTAACCTTTATAAAATCATCCCTAAACAACAAAGCAAACAGGAAAAAAATTAACTTTGATTTTTAATTACAACTCACAAGAACTTGCAAAAACAGTATAAAAAAGATTCTCTTACTTCTCCACCCGCCCCATGGGAACTATTGCTGTTGTTGTTATGTGCCATCAAGTTGCCTGTGACTCATATGTACAACATATGCAACCTTATATACAACAGCTCTGAAGCCTGCCCTATCCTGAGCCAATCTCATTGTCTACCTACACACCTACCCCTATTACCAATCATTGTGTGAATCCATCTCATCCGGGGTCTTCCTCTCCTACACTGTCCTTCCACTCTCCCAAGCATGATGTCCTTCTTCAGGGACTGATGCCTTCTGACCATATGCCCAAAGTATATGAGAGAAAGCTTCAAAATACTAGCCTCCAAGGAGAAACTTGTTTTCACCCTCTCTAGGACAGATCTGTTTGTTCTCTTGGTATGTTCTATACTCATCTCCAGTACCACAACTCAAAGGCATCAATTATTCTTCTGTTACACAGTTCTCTGATGCATAGCAAGTAATTGCAAAGACCATAGCCTGAATCAGACACAACTTAATCTCCAGACTGACACTGTTGCACTTTTGAACTTTGGCACAGTCCCTGACAGCAGATTTTCCTAAATCAATTCGTCTTTTGGTCTTTTGATTGTTGATATAAGAGTGTTGATTGTGGTGCTCAGCAAGCTGAAATTATTAACAACCTCAGTCTCCATCATCATGGTGCTGCCAATTGGCCCAGTGGTGAGAATCTTTGTCTTCTTGATGTTGAGCTTCAATTCATATTGAAGACTGCAGTCCTTGACCTTTTGCAGAAATCACTTCAGGTCCTTCTCAGTTTCAGTGAGCAAGGTTGTGTCATCTGCATAAGGATGTTGTAAGTGATAGGATAATATCCATATGCATACAAGGAAGTCTGGTTAACACCACTATCATTCAAATATACACACTAACAACCAGAGCCAAAGAGGAGAGAATAGGTGATTTCTACCAACTTTTGCAGTCAGAAATCGATCAAATGGGCAACCAAGATATGTTAATAATAGTGGGTGACTGAAATGCGAAAGTTGGGAACATGGAAGAAAGATTGGTAGTCAGAAATCATGGACTTTCTGGAGACTAGAGACAGAATGATAGAATGTAGTACAACCAATGACTTATTCATTGCAAATACCTTTTAAAAGAAAGATAAACAGTGACTATACACATGGACTTCACCTGATGGCGCACACAGGAATCAGATCGACTACATCTGTTGAAAGAATTGCTGGAGAAGCTCAATATCAATTGTGAAAAATAGACTAGGTGCCGATTATGATCATCAGCTACTCATATGCAAGTTCAAACTAAAGCTAAAGAAAATGAACTTATATCCACAAAAATGGGAACTATTAACATCATTATAATACATTATCAGAGCTAGAAGACTGACATTTTTCTTTCTCAGTGTGTGTAGTTCTATGATATTACAGTTCTTGGATCACTGCAATCAAGATGCAGAATTGTTCTGTCACTGCAGAGAAATTCTCCTTTTTTATACTCAGCCTTCTTTCCCTCCCTAAACCCTGACAAACACTGGACTGTTCTCCACATCTATCATACTGTCATTTCCAGAGTGTCATTCAGGTGGAATTATACATGCAATAATTTCATATTAATTTTTTTTTCTACTTAACAAATAAGTGAGCTCTGGTGATTTATTTAAGGCATAATTCCTTATGCAAGGAGTTGTACTATCAACCCAAAGGCTTTTGAATCTGTCAGATGGAGGGTCAACTATGAGTTGATTCTGAACCAAAGGCACATAACAACACCACTTAGCGCCTAGTCCATGAGAGTTGTGCCTCTCTGGTGATTCATATTCATCAGCTGGTCTGTGGGAGAGAAATGGGCAATTTCTACCAGTGCAATTTACAGCCTTGAAAACATCTCATTATGGTTTCAACATGACACAGCTTCATCTTGGACATGTTTCTAGGAGAAGCTAATCCTTAGGAAGGGGCATAATGCTTGGAAAGCTGGAGAGTCAGCAAAAGAGAGGAAGACCTTCAACAAGATAGATGGACATAATGACTGCAGCAGTGGGCTCCAGTGTGTCAGAGATGATGAGGATGGGACAGGATAGGGCAGGGTACAGATCTGTTGGTTGTAAGGTTGCTATGAGTCATACTTGACTTGACAGCACCTAACAACAATTAATGACTGATTTTTTTTTATTTGTTACCTATCTGCGAGCTGTGGTGTTGGAGAAGGGCACCAAACACGGACTGCCAAAAGAACAAACACATTTGTCTTGGAGAGGTACAGCCAGAGTGCTCTTTGTAGGCAAGAATGATGAGACATGTTGCTAGGAGGGGCTATTCCTTGGAAAGGGATATGCTGCTTAGAAGGCTAGAGGGCTGGTGAAGGAGAGGAAAACCCTCAACCAGGTGGGTTGACACAGTGACTGCCCTAATGGGCTCTAATGTGTCAGGAAGTGTGAGGATGACACAGGACAGGACAGGGTTCAGCTCTGCTGTTCATACGGTCACTATGGGTCATACTCCACTCAGCTGCACCTAACAACATATGTGTAAATATTCTGTTTGAGGGTTTTGCTTATTTTTTCATTCTATTGTTTATTTTTTACTGTTGAGTTTAGAAAATTACTTTTATATACTAGATACATAAGTGGCAAATATTTTCTCCCAGTCAGTGAGAAAATTTTGACTATTTTAATAATTCTGAAAATGTTTAATTTTCAAAATTTTTTCTGAACAGCTTGTTTTAATTTTGAAAAATACCAACTTACCTATTTTTTTCTTTTATACAACATATTCTTGAGGTTTGTAAAAGACCATTTCACCCAACCCTAGGCCCCAATTTTATTCTACATTCATTTTTTATTAATAATGATGGCAATGTTTTAGATTTTAGGTTAACGTTTACAGAGCAGATTAGGTTCTGCGTTAACAATGCTTATACAAACTGTTCAGTCCCATTGGCTGCAAGTTCTACAGTGTGCTTTTTCATTCTGCTTGTTTTCTTTCCATGGGTCTAAGCTACTCTTTCCTTGCCTGCCTTCTCATCCTGTTTACTTTTACATCTATAATACAGTTTGAGTTCATTCTTTTAAATAAAATATGAGGGCTGGGTTCATCTTTTGCCTTTTGTTAACCAAGTGCTGCAATATCATTTGTTACAAAGATTATCCTTCCCCATTGAACAATTTTCATACTTTTGTAAAAAAAAATCAACTTCTCTGTCTTCTTCCACTTAACTGCTATAAATTCTAAGGTACATATCTTGTATTTTAACTGCTTTGAAATCAGATATCTTGCAAATGGCATAGTGAATTATCAGCATTTTGGATTCTTTAGAGTACAAAAAGCCCCATGCAATCAGTGGAATATGGTTGGATATATCTCTGAACACAAACTGCAACATGTATATGGAAGGTCAGAAATTGAGTGGAGGAGTGATAAATGAGTTGGTAAGATCGAGGAAGGTAACCTAGTTGGGACTGATAATAGAGGGTTTAGTAGAATGTGTCAGGAGGAGAAAGCCTTCCGTGTCCTCTTTCTGCTCTATATAACGAGGCTACTTCTCCACCTCCACCCCTACAGAAGGCAGCAAGAGTTTGCTGGAAGTCATTTGAGAGGAATTCTGAACTATGACAACTGGCCTGGAGAAGAGTGGAAGAAAAACCTCAAACAGAAAATGAGAAAATTAAGTCTGAGTATTAAGCAGAGGCATGACCACTGTAACCTTCCTTGTCCAGATCCCAGAGGGCAAGAAGTCAACACACCTTAGCCAAAAGATTGACTTCTTCCCCCCCCCCCCTTTAAGAAATCTGCTGTCAGGGACCTCTCCAGAGTACTGAAAACCAATAATATCAGTCTAGAGATTAAGTTGCGCCTAAAACAGGCCCGGTCCTCACAATTACTTGCTATACATCAGAAAGCTGGACAGTGACTAAGCATGACAGAGAAGAATCAATACCTTTGAATTGTGGTGTTGAAGAAGAGGCTTGAACATACCATGGGCTGCCATGAAAACAAATAGGTCTGTCTTGGAGAGAGTGGAACCACATTTCTCCTTGGAGGCTAGGATTTTGAAGCTCTATCTCACATACTTTGAACACATGATCAGGAAGGGACCAGTCCTTTGAGAAGGACGTTATGCTTGGAAGGGTGGATGGACAGTGCAAGATAGGAAGACCCCAGGTGAGATGGATTGATACAATGAC